TGTCTACCATTTAATAAAAAGCTGACATTGTACAAATTTTTATGTCTACCATTTAATAAAAAGCTGACAATTTTTTATTAAATGGTAGACACAAAAATTTGAACATTTGAACATATCAGCTTTTTATTAAATGGTAGACATAGAAATTTGAACGTGTCAGTATTTGTGTCTACCATTTAATAAAAAGCTGACACATTTAAATTTCTATGTCTACCATTTAATAAAAAGCTGACATTGTACAAATTTCTATGTCTACCATTTAATGAAAAAGCTGATATGTTCAAATTTCTGTCTACCATTTAATAAAAAGCTGATATGTTCAAATTTTTATGTCTACCATTTAAAAAAAGGAAGCCATGTTCAAATTTCTATGTCTACCATTTAATAAAAAGCTGAGATGTTCAAATCACTTTAGTAACATTCTCACTAATACCAACAAATGTACTATCTGTCTTCTCTACTTAGGTGGCATGAACAAAGGTTGCCAGAGGGAAACTATAATCACTATATACAAAGCATACATCAGATTGCTGTTTGAATATGGCTGTGTCATCTCCTGAAACATGTATAACACACTTATGTCTAAAATACAGCAACAACAAAATAAGGCTATCAAAATAGCATACCACCTTCCACCATACATCCCACAACAATACCTTGAGAAACTATGCATCATCACCTTCCACCATACATCCCACAACAATACCTTGAGAAACTATGCATCATCACCACCTTCCACCATACATCCCACAACAATACCTTGAGAAACTATGCATCATCACCTTCCACCATACATCCCACAACAATACCTTGAGAAACTATGCATCACCACCTTCCACCATACATCCCACAACAATACCTTGAGAAACTATGCGTCATCACCTTCCACCATACATCCCACGTCTTTTATCCTTGGTTGTTAATAGGTTTTATATTATTTCCTTTCTGTAATAGCTATTTTTTCCTGCTCAAGTGACTCCTTTTGTCCTGGTTTATAGACCCTCTTTTCCCGATTCCCTGTCATTAGTATCTATCTGGCCAACTGGGGGATCAAGACCTTTACCTTCTATTTTACTTTCTTGTTCCACTTTTTCATCTTTTTATCTCTACCATCCTATATTTCCTCTCCTAACTCCAACATTTATTTGAGTCGCTTCTTAATGACTTCTGTAGACATTCGTTCCCTTTTCTGTTTGACATGTTCCACTTCTGCCCTATTCCTCCATACTTTGTTCCTGTGCTTTTCGGTATTTTTGGGATTGGGTTACATTCATATTTACTGTACCACTTCTTTCTTCTTGTATACTTATTTTGTCTGACTTCCTTTTTTTACCCATTTGTCTTCAGTAGTGTTATTTCCTCCTGGTGACCTGGTCTGATGTTATACAACTCCTGTCCTCACTATCTTCCTAGGTTTTTCCTCATTCTAGATTGTGCCCTTTATTCCTATTCCCCATCTCGGTCTGTCTCCTTCTCAGTTTCCATTACAGATTCCAAACCTTTTCTTGTGTTTCCTCTACCAAAAGTCTAGCTTGTCACTCTTCTTGTCAGTGACTCACACATACATTTCTGTGGGTACCTGTCTCTTCTACTGTTGGTCTCCATTTCTGCCAACAGTTGTTTCCCATTTTTCCACTGTGGTCCCTTTATTTACTAGTCTTCTCTTCCCATTTCTCCTTTCTCCTCCCTCCAACCATATCTATTTTCCCTCTTACCTGGTCTGTGGTTGACCATGGTTGATGTATTGGACACCTTCTTACATATCTCTCATGGCATGTCCTCCTTTTGTTTCCATACTTTGTCCATCTTCCCATTCCTTGACCTTCCCCTTCAATTTATTGTATTCCTTAGCATTTTGAGGGCCTTCACATGCCATATCCATGGCCAGGGGCTAGTGTTCCTTTTGATAGCCCATATTTGGATGTTTCCTCTTCTCCTACCCCTCTTCTTTTACAATGGCTTCTTGATTTTGTGGGGTGGCTAATCTTGGGATTTGAGTTCTTTCTCACACCTGCTCAGTGTTGGATACTTTTGGGCATTTTCTTCTTCTCTCGTCTTGCTGAGTTTAACCTATCTTTTTTGCCTGTGAGCTATTGCATATCTTGTTGCCTAGTTTTCCACTATTTGTTCTTTCCCTGCCTGAAGGGTTCTTTTACCTTCGGAGACTCTGGCTTCTGATACAATACCTTATTTCCACTCATAAATGAGCTTTTCACGATTTTGTGCTGCCTCCTATATGTGCAATTTTTCACCTGCCACCAGCCTTAAGACTTCCACCTAAACTCAGTGTTTCCACATTCTATTTCTGCCCTGTAGCATGCAACAACCCTTCATCAATAGGAGCGCAACACACCCTCCCAGCGCAGCTGACTCCCTCTGTACTGATTGTTCAATCATCACTTCTCGATTTGACACTTGTGTGTAACAGTCTTGTGAACTTCTGAGATATAGGTATTTTTTTTAGTGGAAATATCTACTTAGACATTACCTGGTGTGGACGTATTTGCTATTGGATTTTCTTTTTTTAACATTTTCTGTGTCTACAGATTTTGTGGGCTTTTATTTCCACATAATGTTTTCTCAAATGTCAGTAACTTCCAATGTGTCTGGTGTAAGACAATAACACGTTGTTCATGATAGTCTAACAACTAAATTGGTATCAGGTTTGTCTTTGTCTGTTGAGAGAACTGACAGCTTTTGTGGGGTGGGTGGTGGAGTCTTTCATGCTGCGGGGACCTTCTTTTATACCTCTGCCTACATTTCTCATTCGTGACAGAAGAGATTTTGCTGGTTTTTCCCATCAACTACCTTTGCCTAATCTTATACACATGTTGTCTTAAACCTACATACACTTTTTTTGTAATTTTGGAGCAAGGTTTCTCAGGTATGTTTCTTTCTCTCCTTCACTTCATAATTCGTTTCTTGCTTCTTACTTTTATATTTTTTACTTCCTTTCCAGATATGCAAGTTCATATTTGGTTACTTTTACCACAACTTTATGCATGTGTATATCGTCCTCCTTCCTTTGTTACCTTCTATGATTAAACATAACATTATGCTCTTTACCTTTTTTTTTCAAATCCTAAACCCTAGAGTTTATTTTACAGACTTTCGTCTTATTTCATTTTTTTTCCTCAGTTTATCATCTTTCTATGGTAATTCCCCATTCCCTTGAAGGGTTTTCAGCAGATGCTTGTTCACTTTTATTCTCAACAGTGGTATGTTTATCTTCTTTGGCCTTACTACTTCATATTTGGTTGATCTGTTGCTAGAGTTTGTTAGAGCAGGATGTCATTGTTACTCAAGTGCTTTTGCCTCCTTTTTTATCATTTATACCCTTTTTTGGCTCCATTCATCTGCCAGTGTGATTTTTCTCAAGGTATTGTTGTGGGATGTATGGTGGAAGGTGATGATGCGTAGTTTCTCAAGGTATTGTTGTGGGATGTATGGTGGAAGGTGATGACGCATAATTTCTCAAGGTATTGTTCCCTTTTGGGAATTAGCAACATTTGGCAAACTGTGTTCAGGTGTTAGATCTGTAGTAACTCCCTCTTTCACGCTATCAAATTGCAAAACTGGTTCCAACGAATTATATTTAGCAGTTTGATAAAATTGAATTAATAATGTCATTGTTATTTTAGCACAAATATTTTTCAGAAACGTGCCAGAGAAGTAATTCACTGGCGAGAAGAACAACTGAAAGCTGCCAAACAGCAGGAAGATCTTATAGTTATCCAAAAGAAACTAGAAGAACACCTTCAAGTATATAAATCTGAATTACAACAGAGACGTCAAGAGGGGCGAAGTCGATCCCATTCTAAGCCTCGTACTAAAGAATCTATGGACGATGATCCTCGGCCTAAAATGTCTTTTGTTTTGAAAGGTAAGAAAGAATTGATTCCTTTTCTAATAAGGAAAAATATTTTCAGATTATGCAGATATGTTTATAAATCAGTAAATGACATAACTGTTCCATAATTTTCAGTATAGTAAATTAAGGTTTTATTGAAGTACAATATTTTGTGATTTTTCATGTGAAAGGTGATGTGGATGGGTCTGTTGAAGCTATACTAGACATACTGGAAACGTACCATTCTCATGATGCTTGTCGTCTTGATTTGATACATTATGGTGTTGGGACTGTTACTGAGAGTGATGTCGAATTAGCCAAAGCCTTTAATGGTATGAACATTTACTGAATAATAAGTTTTCTCTTGGTCCAGAAAAAACAACATTAAGTATCTGATAATATTCCTAACTGGACAAAATTTTAGATAACTTTGTAAAAGTTACTTGTAACTGTTGATCATACGGTTTTAGTATAATCAATTTGAAGAGAGACCATATTTCCTAAAGTCAGGTTTTCAATTTGTTAATAATAAAATCAAAATTTGAAAAAAATAGTATATGAACATCTGTATTTTAGTTTTATAGATTTGTAACGGTGGATGAAAGTGTAGACAGAAAATGGTTGGAAATATAAACATTTCTTTTAGACTGTTTTAATCATCTATACTCATTGAGTTAAAGTGTGTAGTAAAGAATACTTAACATGGATGTTCTAATTATGTCTACAACATTAATACAGTGCTTCACAGAAGTGTGGAAATTATATTGATACACAGGATATTCAGATTATATCTCTAACATTAATGCAGTGTGTTTAACAGAAGCATTGTAAATTATATTGATACCCACGATTTCCTACATGATAACTCCCCACACAGATTAGCTGTCTTCCTCAGGGCATCTGCCAAAGAGATTTGTACTCTACTAATGTTGAGGCAACTCCCACCTAATTTCATGTGATTTTACATGAATTCCACTACTGCATAATGATATGTGACAAAAGCTCTCCACCAATTAGAAGGTGACACCTATGTATGAGGTAGCTCCCCCTATGCTTTTGCACTCGTGAATCTTTAATCTTCTCAATATTGTAATGTATAGTTGTGTTTAAATTTCTCATGTTTATTGAGGTTTGCATCATTAACCAAGCTTCATTTTATTTAACATTTCCTTCAAAAGTTTTACTTTTTTATCATGAATTCTCAAATGATGATTTATATTTGGCCCTGAGTATGTAACATTGTTCACATCTAGGTCTTATTTCTGTTGTTGGTTTTGGAGACTCGTTAGCTGTCAGGGTCATTACCACATGTTTAATGGGCCTCCTACACATGTCTCATTGGATGAATTTCTTTGTCCTCATTTGGGAATGGTCTATTAGAATATGAACTTCTCCTAAATTAACTTTGGGAAGTACTTTATTATTCAAGAAATATCTTTAACCTTTCAACTTCTTTCTGGATTTCAAGATGGAGTTACTATACATCTAAACATGGCACAGTATGATACATCATGTTGAGTGGAATGTTCCTAGTATCCAAAGGAACAAGATGGAGTTACTATACATCTAAACATGGCACAGTATGATACATCATGTTGAGTGGAATGTTCCTAGTATCCAAAGGAACAAGATGGAGTTACTATACATCTAAACATGGCACAGTATGATACATCATGTTGAGTGGAATGTTCCTAGTATCCAAAGGAACAAGA